ATTTGAGCACCGGACCTTTGACGTTCACAAAAGAAGTCCATCAATTGGCATGCAAGACAACATAATAGGAGGAGGCCATCGCTTACTAGGGTGGAGGCCATCGCTAGTAGGTTGGAGACCAAATGGCACATCTCCTCTTGCAACTCCAAGAGGCATAGACTTGTCCTTGAAAACAGCTACCTGCGGCCCCTGCACTGGATCCACCTGGAAGGAATGATACCATGAGAGGAGATGAAGCGGTTCGCTAAGAAATTGACTGGTGTCTGGACTGCGCAAATCAGCAGCTCAACAAGGTGACAGGTCCACAGCTCAAATCGCAAATCAGCAGCGACAACAATGACAACTATTTGCTAGTAGCACCCACCAAATTGTGGAACAATCAATGTCAACGTTCCGCATATTAGTACAGCAATCTCTCCAGTCGCCTAGAGCGCAAAAAGGGCATTGTGCAGAGGTTGAAGGAAGAAAAAGAAAAAGGCGGCCAAAGCGATGACTTACGGCGTACCATGGCCAAAGCGATGCCATCTGGGCTCCAGCAAGCTGCTTTTGGCAAATTCAGTGGAAATGGAGGAGCCTGGCAGCAGCAAGAAGAGTACTACTAGCAATGGCCTCCACCCTAGTAGCGATGGCCTCCACCCTAGCAAGAGTTCAACAGTTTTTCTCAGATCTTCACCTATGTGAAGCGCATATCAGCACTCAAGTCGAGAAAGTGAGCCTGAACCTCCTCGATCTGTGAATTCGCAAAGCCTGTCGCACGTCACAGGCAGTACGGACCAGTACATTCAGATTCTTTTCATCCCAGGAAAATGGGAGAACAAAAACATTGGCTGGAAAGAAAGTTGCACATCTTTCCATTAACACCTACCAATGAGATTAGACGGTTTGTGCGACTTCATTGGCTGATGATGAGGCACCATAAAGTTTCAGGAACTCCTTCTCCCTCACATAGAATGGCAATGACCTCATCTTTTGCGATAAGAAAACAAACATAAAGTATATACAAAACAAAGGCAAGGCCCCCTTTTAAAGGAAACGTAAGTTACCTTCTTTTTTCATATATGTGTCCTTTACCTTATCAGCAATTTGTTGTGAAGAGAAGCGAACGGCATTGCTGAGCTGTTTGCTCTAAAGCTGCCATTCTGCTCGCTGCACCCTGCCATGTGAAAGTGGCATCTCCAGAATTCCAGCACGGCCACGTGGCATACTCAAATCATGCCGGATTCACCAAGCTTCACTAAGTGCCGGGCTCAAGCCCATAGTGAGACAAAATTGTCAAATGCTCTTGTTTTGGTTGCTGTTGTTCGGTTGTAGGTCTTTGATTCTGCGGCTGAAGGGAAGGAAAAAGGGCCCTGGCGCTGATACAAATTCCGCCCAAGCGGAGGGTGACAGAGTCGTCTTCCAGTGCGCTATGAATGAAGAATTAAATTAATTCAAATATAAATTACTAGCTTCTTGTTACTACCAGTAAGGCACCTGTTACTACTAGCGTGGCACTTGTTGCTACTAGCGTGGCACCTGTTACTACTATGAATGAAGAATGTAAGGAACAAAGACGCTAGGAGCAAAGGGCATCGCTACGAACGGAGCAAGGACGCTACGTTCGGGGCTCCTGGCCGTACTACGAACGGAGCGATCGGAAACTAGGAATTGTCAGAATGCAAGGAAGCTACCAGGAACAAGTGCATCGCTACTAGGAACAAGTGCCTTACTAGTAGTAACAAGGACGCTAGTAGAAACAAGTGCCACGCTACTAGGAACAAGTGCCTTACTAGTAGTAACAAGAAGCTAGTAGTAGCTAGTGCCACGCTAGTAGTAACAGGTGCCTTACTAGTAGTAACAAGAAGCTATTAGAAACAAGTGCCTTACTAGGTTCCGTGACGTGGTGACGTGGTGACGTGGTGACGTGGTGACGTGACCTGCGCGCCAAGCTGCGAGACAAAATGGCTACAAGTTCGGTAAACATCGCAACTGGCCTCCAACCGAGCGAAGATTAGAAACAAACAGGTGGAGATGCAACTGATGCAGCTCTGACTTTCAGTGGAGAATGTGTAAAGGCAAATGCCGAGATCAAGGCTTTTAGGGTGAGCCCTGCATACAGCAACACGTGGGTTTGCAGCTCCGATCCTGTCGCCCAAGCGTGCAAACGGGTGAGCTGCACAAACGCTGCGACGGTGACACAAGGACTTACGGACTGAGGACAGCCCTCTCTGAAGGCCCGCACCGAAGTTGATCATATCGGTTCCCACCTGAATCTGACGAAAATCGACGAAAATGTCAGGCTTTGGCAAAACTTAGAGTCGTTGCTCTGTCGACGTGTCACATTTCGTCTTTCTCGTCTTTCTCGAGTTGTAACATGTCAAAGTCTTGACGTCCAAGGAAAGAAAAACAAAAGAACAGGTCTAAAGGTCTAATGGAATAAAGAAATGACGCAAAGAAAAAAGAGTTGAAAAGAGTTTGGACCTTCCGCTTTAGCCCCTTCGAGCTTCCAGACCATAGTGTCAAAGGGCATGCCAGGATCCTCCACGCTTCTGGTGTGACAATGTGTGGCGCTTCAAGATTTGAAACCATGACGAGCTCAATGAGCTTCACGTTCTTCGGTCCTTCAATGTTTCAGCTAGAGACTTGAATGGATAGGGCACGCCCACCTGATGCAATGTCACTGCCAGTAAACTGTCAAGCCATATGTTACAGGCAACTTTGGACGGCCCGAATGCCATCCATGCCGAGCCGCGGCCCAGCCTTCTTCTCTGTGACAAGGCCCCCAGATTTGTAGGGTGAGAAGCCTGACGTGTCCCCAATCCGAATTGAGTTTACCTCAGTTCAGCTTTTCATCTGTCACCAATATGAACAATCAACGATGCAAGGCCCAAAAGCAGGGTTGTCTGGGATTCCAATGGCTGAAAACGAGTTGCTGTTGAATGCAAAACCCAAGAGCGATGGCCTCCAACCTAATAACAATGGCCTCCAAACGAGTTGCTGGATCGTTGGGCTTGGAACTGATCTTCCAAGCAGTGACCTTCTCGCCACAGGGAGACAACTCCTGCGCTTGAGCAATTTAAGCTCTAATGAAATATATGACATATTCATATCCCTTTCGGCTTCTGTGTATCTTCTCATGTTGATTCTCATTGATTCATACCGAGTATCCCTGCTCTCTCTCTCTCTCTCCAGTCTCATCTCAACTCTCTCTCTCTCGATCTCCTGGTGAGCATCTATACCTTCCTCAGATCGCGTCGACCGACTTCGTCTTGTGCCGTCGCTTCTCTGCCGGACCCTTCGTAAAGACCCCTTCAGACCCTTCAACATTCCTCAGACCCCATCGAGTCTCTTCTTGCAAAAAAGTAAAAAACATAAATTAAATATACCCTTATAGAAAAAGACTTTAAGGACTCTAATAGCGATGGCCTCCAACCTAATAGCGACTGTCTTTCTGTGTTTTTCTTTTGTCTTTCGCAATGGAAATCCGCGGCAAGTCTCGCAGCCCTGGACGTCGGAGAACTCGACGTAGCAACCCTCGGGTAGCGATCCGGGTGCCTCGAGGAACGCTTCGCACTGTTGGCGCGACAAACCATCACAAACACAAACCCATATTATATATATATACACATATAGTATCATATATATATATATGTATTACTATAATTGACTATATATATATATATGATCTATGTCTTTCTCTTTTTCCCTACCCGACAGGATTAGATGGACTTTAGAGTAGACAACCCACCGGCATCACCCAGTCCCTCCCAGTTCGACAAACATGACAGCACATCACAAACATGAAACGCCAAACATTGACAACCACAACACACACATGAAACTTGACAATACCCCGGGGCAAAAAGCAACAGCAAACTATGTTATATATATATAGAGTTATATCTAATGAGACCACCAAACGTGACCACAACCACAACACAGAGTAACCCAGAGATGCCACCAGCAGCCCAACCTTGCCAGTCACCGCGACCCAGCTATCCTACCAGTGTCTCGCCAGTGCACTGACCGTAGATTTGCTCGCTTTGCTCGCAGGTCTTGCAGGTTCTTTACCCCACCTCATATAGACATTCGTATGGGGGCAAACCTAGTCGGCGGGGATGGTTCGAAGTAAAGCAATTCTTGTTTTTGGGCCTTTGGTATGGAACCTCAGAAATGAATGTAACTACCATGAATCAAAGTGGATTCCAAGAATGTCCTTGCCAGGAACGCAGTACTTGGTGGTACAAGCCAGCAAGGTGCCGTAAAGTGCTTGGTGCGGAGTGAAATTGAAAGCATGGCCAGCCATAACTCTAATTAGGCTCTTGGATGCTCTTGGCAAGATGAAGCGGTCAACAGGCTTGGGGCTTGGCCAACCCCAGCAGCCCTCTAGCCACCCTGTCAACCCTGCTGTCATCCCTGCCTGGCCATCCGGAATGCTGAGCCGCACGAGAGCCTCTGCCAAAACCCGACACTAGTAGGCTGGAGGCCATCGTAAGAGGATGCTACTAGGAGCAAAGAGCATCGCTACTAGGAGCAAGGATGCTACTAGGGGCTCCTGGCATCGCTACTGGTAACAAGAACGCTACTAGGAACAAGTGCATCGCTACTAGGAACAAGTGCCTTACTAGTAGTAACAAGAAGCTACTAGGGGCTCCTGGCATCGCTACTAGGAGCATGTCTTTTTCGAAACAACAACGACTTGACGGACCCGACGGACCCGATGGACCCGACCTCTGGCCCTGAGTCGATGCTCTCCACTAAGCGCACCATGGGAGCCTGCAGAAGCTATTAGCTTATTGTTACTAGTAGTAAGGCACTTGTTACTACTAGCGTGGCATTTGTTACTACGGATCGTCGGACGGAACGCAGATCGTCGAACTGTCAAATCAACAGATCGACCAATTCTGTCGCATCTTTTGAATCCTCTTGGATAGGGTCTAAGACGAAAATCGATTGGCCAAAGTCACAAATCTATTTGGCAAAGTCTTTGAATGACTCCTGTGTCCTCATACCTTCAAAATGCCACTAGGAAAGACACCAAATTTCCAGGATGCTAAGTGATTTTGGCCAAAGAAATCTGCCTTCAAATGGCAGATACTTAAATTTGAACAAATTTCAGGCAAGCTTCTACGGTACGAAGCACTACTCACCACTACTTTTTGTCTTCACCAACTTCATCCAGCACTTTGAAGGCTTGGTACAAGACCTGAAGCTGTGGTGAACATGCGCAAAATTGGAGGAAGCAAAGTATCAGACAAAAGAAAAGAAACCTTAACGCCTCAATATTATGATTATCATGAACGTGACATAACAAAGCAATTCTGCTGTATTCTGTGTTCATGCCTCCTGAGAGCTAGCTCCTCCAGCAGCGTACCTGGCTTTCACATGTCCATCACTTCGCTACTGCAGGTGTCCAAACTGCTTTCTGATCTCCGGTGTTCGAACATAATGTTCCTAGTAGCTTCTTGTTCCCAGTAGTAAGGCCAGCAGCCCCTATTAGCGTCCTTGCTCCTAGTAGCGATGCCAGGAGCCCCTAGTAGCTTCTTGTTCCCATCATGTTCTTCAAATGTTGAAAGGCTGGAACTGAAATGTTGAAGAGTTTGTACATATTTGCAGTGTCCACAAGCCGTACCTCTGAAACCAGCTCGACTGTTTGACGATTGGGGTAGCCTGGTAGGCACAATTTCACAAGCGAATGCATGGGGGCAGCTCTGCTGGCTCTGCTATCCTACTCTGTTAGTTTGGCACCACATCGCTGTTGGGTCTGAGGCCATCCCTATTAGGTTGGAGGCCATCGCTAGTAGGTTGGAGGCCATCACTATTAGCTTGGCAGGAAAGCTGCAAAGCTCAGAGTAACCGGTGGAATTGAATGCAAGCTTCTTCAACCGGCCTCACGGGGCACATACTTCTCCCACTCGTTCTTCCCCTCTTTCAGGAGCCTCACGACATCCTGCAAATTCAACAAGTTGATCGGCCTTCGATTCGGGTCTGAGTGATCAAGTCCGATCCAGCTTGAATGACTTTCATATCGTCAAAACCAAACCAAGCCCTATCCTCGGACTGCCCTCTATAAGGTTCATTGGTGTCTTGGCGGACCGCGGAGCTGTTCATGAATTCTGTTTCTATCTGCACCTGAGAACACAGCAATCCTGAAGACAGCGGAGCTTCCATCAGTTTGGATCAATCATTCAATCTATCTCTAGAGCAAAGACTGCATTCAAGTTTTATTCACTTGTTCCTAGTAGCTTCTTGTTACTACTAGTAAGGCACCTGTTACTACTAGTAAGGCACTTGTTACTAGTAGCTTCCTACCCGTCTGCTGTGCATTTAATCCATCCGGTCCGCCCCGCTTTTTGCTGGGATCAGCATGCATAAAGCGAATGTAGTTTATCAAACCAACTGTCACGGGAACAATAGCCCTGAACGACCGTTACACTTTGTTTCACTCATCTTGTCAACTGCTTCCAACAAGTGTGTATATAAAGTGTGTATATAGTAATAAATTCATTGTGATGTCCTCCCACTATCTGGATACCATATTTCTATATTCCCTCACGCCTCAGCAGTTGACAATTGTTTGTTGCTTGAAATGGTGCTCGAATGAGTTTTGGATTCGTATTTTTGGGTGTTCTTTGGGCTGGGTCAAGATATAAGAATTGAAGTATGTTGCCAGAAAAATGACCAGTTCGAAAGGAGGTTGTAAATCGAGACCAAGTTCCAAGAAGACTGGTCACGGTGGACCAATGGACCCCTGCGGCAAAAATTGAAAGCGATTGCACAAAATTTGGTTGTTTTCTGTTTTTTGGGGGGTAGGCCGCTAGAGGTAGAGGTAGATAGAACTAGTTAGGTAGCTAGTACCTTACTTGAGCTACTAGTATGGACACAGGATAGCTCGCGCTAATGATTTGGCTTCTAGATTTTAGGGACACTTAACTAGTTTTAGGGACGTACCTAGTAGCAAAAGGAACCTAATAGCGATGGAACCCACCCTAGTAGTGTGAAAGGACAAGGACAAAGTTGACAGGACAATGGAAAAATTATAAATGCAAGCCATCAAAATGCAATGCTGTTCAAGCAGAAGAGCTTTGAAGGCACCACCCAACAGAAGCACACAACATGGACTTTGCAAAGAAATTGATGCCTGCATTGGCCACATCGTTTGCTGGCTTGGTCTGTGATTTTTCCATGGAAAGCGTGGAGCGAGTTGCGATGAGTTGCGGGGAGGGCGCAGCGCCTCGTTGAGAAGCAAGCAAGAAGTCAAACATATGGATGACGTGGCACAGCTGTGCTCATCATACAGCACTGCATGAGCAAACACTGCAGGGTGCAAAAGAATCTACAAAGCCCACCACAAGCTAAGCGGCCAAAAGCCAAGAACAGCTACAAGTCGAAAGACACCAAAATACACAAAATAAGATCTAAAAAACTACAAACACAAAAAACCTGCATTCTTAAAGAATACCCTCATGTTTAATGGCCGGTTGCTGGGCCCACCCCAAGTTGTGCATCCATAGATGTTGAATAGACATAATATGCGCATGATGCATCTGAGAGTCCTCAAACCCACACAGCCAATCCCAGCCACAGAGCAAATTTCAACGATCAAAAAAAGCAAACTATTGGAATCTCAGATTTCGGCGATCTTCCCTTCACCGACCAGATATCGGTGCAAATTTTCAGCGGTGCCGGGGATCTGCACATCGCTGGAAACGGTGCCATCAGAACCTCAAGGCTGGGCTGGGCCACTGGGCAGGCCGCTAATTGCTCCTAGTAGCGATGCCCTTTGCTCCTAGTAGCGTCCGATCGCTCCTAGAGCCCCTAGTAGCGTCCTTGCTCCTGGTAGCGATGCTAGGATATCTTTCACGACACAAAAGGAAAAGTCACAACATGATTGCATCGTTGCCATCTGTCACATGCTTCACGTTTGTTCCGCTTGAGCACCCAGCTGATATTGGGATACGCGAACAATCGAACATTGCCGGCAAACAACTTGCCAAAGGCCTTCACAATCTCTAGTGACAGGACATGTTGCAAGGGTGGAGGATCTACGTAGTGAACCTCGCCTCGAGCATTCCCCCCTTGTAGGCTTGAAGGTAGCTCTTTGCATTGAAAATGCCACGTCCCAGGTCATAGTTGCCGCCCCCAACCTCAACAAAATAGTCTCTGTGTAATTTTAACATAGAGAAAGTAGAAAGGAAAGTCAAAAAGACAAAATTGACTACCGATGTTCAATCATCTGCCCATTCAATGGCCGGGCGGCTGCAAGGACAATGGCTTGAGTGGTGTATCTGGCAAGGTATGCGGAAAGCTCTGCATCTGACCTTCGGAATCAGATATGAACTGCAGGTATGAGCCTAATTCCAGGCGTCCAGAAAAGAAAATATTAACTTTTTAATAGTGAGTGTGGATTGTTTGGCTGCTCTAAGGGCTCCAAGCCCAAGTCCTGTGATTTAGGCTGCAGACAAAACAAGGTGAGTGTAGCAAGGATAAAGTTTTGTCACCAAATGCAGCTCAGGTGTTGACCCCACACCGCTCAGCAACACTGGTAGACGCAAAGACTCCAACATCCTGAGAAAATGTGGTCGACCCTAGTAGCATCCTTGCTACTAGTAGCGTGGCACTTGTTACTACTAGCTTCTTGTTACTACTAGTAAGGCACTTGTTACTAGAAGCGATGCACTTGTTCCTAGTAGCATCCTTGCTACTAGTAGCGATGCCAGTAGCGTCCTTGTTCCTAGTAGCGATGCCCTTTGCCCCTAGTAGCAAATCCAGAAATCATTTCTGAAACAAACATTGCATTTACTTAAACTTGCTACTAGGAACAAGTGCATCGCTACTAGTAACAAGTGCCTTACTAGTAGTAACAATGTTTGCTATTAGAAACAATAATTAAAATAGAGACATGAGACATCATTTAACGGTCCTGAAGCGGTCCAGAAACTCCACATTGTTCACAGATCGGTCCCTGGCACGAGTCATTTCATCCCCGAGGGGAACCAAAAACTTCGGAAGCCAAAGCGCCAGTTGCACGTCCAACCAAGAACCTGGTCGACCATCACCTTCCCTTTGCCTTCCACATCTAAGTCCTTCAGCAAAGGAGGCCATCGCTATTAGGTTGGAGGCCTTCGCCAGTAGGTTGGATTAAACAGATCTTGGGTCTTCGTCTTTTCAGCGCGACGTCGGAATAAGCCATCCTTCGCCAACTGTTTGGCCTCTTCTTGACTTAACCTGCAAGAACAAACAATTAAGGTCTTATGGAGGAACAACGTGAATACATGTTCTTCCAGAAAGCTCTCAACCGCTTGTCTTGGTGACCGGCTTCTGTGCGAAGACATTTGCCAGTGCATCCTAAGCAGCATACTTGTTGCTGTAAGTCAGAATCCACTCTAGAGAAAACATGCTAAAGCTATCTCTAATATATAACTAACACGACCGTCAAAGAAATATAAAGCCTCAGGCTATCTCATGAAACAACGGAATCAGGTGGCCCCACCAGGGAAAGAAGGCCATCGCCGTCGATATCTGCCTGCAGGAATCCAAAAGTCGTCAGCACTAGCGTGACAACGTTGATCTAAGATTTTATGCTTCAAGACTTGGACAGGACTACTTCCGCTCGTGGAGGCCATCGCTTCCATAAGAAAGTAACAAGAATCTGCTGTCAAGACTTCAGACTTGCACCTGCACGGCCGCCCGCGTGCGCCGCAAGCGTCCCTCCGTGCCCAGGAGGTTTCTCGGGCGGACGATGTCGTCAATCTGGAAGTCCAAGATCTGCGTGCGGGAATGGAAGATTGCATAGAAATCTGTCCTGGAAACGTGCTTGCTTAAACTTGCCTGTATCTTGTATCATTTTAATTCATCTTATACCTTCCATCCAACATGATTCACCTGGCCACTGTCAGTCTTCATGCAAGGCCTCAGATCCTTTTTGCTGCTCTGGCAACTCGTTGCAGCTACTTTATGTACATGTTCTTCCATCACCCCTCTCAAAAGTCTTGGCGGCAAGAACAGGCATCAATTGGCGGGAAGTGCTGTCCAAGCGTACGGCACTGCCGAAAATTTCTGGCGACATCGAGGCGTCCACTTTGCGGTGACTTGGTTCGCCAGGCGAATGTTGCCTTTCTTTGCCGCATCTTTGGGCCTCACCAGCCTCATCGAGTAAAGCCATCCTGTGCAAAGCAACACTGTGAGCGGCAGAGCGGCAGAGCAGAGAAAACATTCACAAATCTTCGTCCTCAATGGCGAAAGGGATGGAGATGAAGCAAAACACCGAGCAAATTCCGAAGACCACACACAGTGACCACCTGCCACAGACCACAAATTCCAATCTTTAGTCTTTGCCTTTGGCATCAAAACAACTAAGGCCGATGCTTCAGGCAACAGCTTAGACGATACTCATCGGGCAATGTGTATGCGGCCAAATACCTGCGAAACGAGACGTCAATTGTGTTGGAGGCCATCGCTAGCAGGGTGGAGGCCATCTCTAGTATGTTGAAATGAAGCAATTCTGAAATCAGCTCGGCACCAGAGTGAACCGATGGTCGGCGGCATCAGCAAACCATTGATAAATTGAGTCCACACCTTGCTTCGTTCGCCAAACAGAGAAAAGTTAAAACAGGATAATTAAAGTGCCAAGCGCTACAACTGGAGTGTTCAAAGCATCTAAAACCTGAAAGAGTTTGAAAGTTGTATCATCGAACAAGGGCATCAAAATTGCAGATTTCTGTGTTGTGGGAGTCACGCAAAGCCAAATGAAGTGAGGCCAAGCTTCGCCAGTGAGGTCTACAGCAAAGGTTGGCGTAAATATGGTCAAAGCCCATGCAGCTGTACAGGTGGCAATGAACCTCAAAACGAGAAGCATTGCTTACACTATACAAACACTATGTAAATGTTTTAATCTTGAAAGTTTTTCTTGACGGAGAAATGATAGCTCGGTGAAAACAAAAAAAAAGCACCATTAAAAACTAATAACAATTACTAGAAACAAAAT